GTATAGTATCTGTCTGCATGAACTAGAGTAAGAACTCCATGAAAGTAGGTTTGTCTGGTCATTGCTGTATCTAGTACAATACTTAACATTTAGTGGGGAATCAATAGATTTTTGTCAAATGAATGAATGAATTGAATTAAATGAGGGCCATGTGGTATCCTGAAATCCAAATGAAGTGTTTTTAGAACAGACTGGTCAACTATGTCAAATGCTGCTGATGGGTCAGACAATGTAAAGACATGAAGATTGGATTTACCAAGGTATGGATGGCTGTGATAAGTGGTTTTAGTTGAGTGGTGGCACAAAAGCCATATTGGAATAGAGTCAAGAAAAAAAGGAATGGGTAGAAGTAGAAAGAGGAGATATATCTATATAAATTGTTCAAGGAATTTTGAGGGATAAGGAAATTGAGCTGTAACAAGAAGACAGGTATGAGGTCAGGGAGGGCTTTAAAGTGTTTTTCTTTTATTATAAAAATTTCAAACATACACAGAAGAACCTATTTCATGTTTGTTAATAATATCAAGATTTTGGCATAAGTATTTCATTTACTCATTTTTGTTGTTGCAAAAATATTTTGAAGCAAATCCCAGCCATTTTAGCTGTATATACTTCAATATGCATCTAAAAAAGAGAGAGAAAAGGCACTTTCTTACACAACCTGATGCCATAATCACACCTATTAAAATTAACAGTAATTCTTTGATACTATTTAATACCCAGTTTTTATGAGACTGCCACAATTATGTTTAAAATAAAAGTAGTTTGAATTTAGATCCAGTCAAATTCTGGTTCACATTTGATCGTTGTATGTTTTAAGACTCTTTAAGTCTAGAGAACAGTCTTTCCTATATTGATGAAACTAGATTAATTATCCTGTAGCCTGTCTTACATTCTTGATTTGTATCTTTTCTTCTTCATGGGTCATCTAATTTATTTCTCTGTTTTCAATATTATTTGTAAGCTGTTACATAGTGCTAAATGTTTGATTAGATTTAGGTTCAGCTCTTTTGGGATACATACTTCATAGTTGGTGGCCTCTGCTTTATTGCATCACAACAAGAGGCGTATGTTTGATTTTCACACTCTTAGTTATGCTAATGTTGATCAGTGAAGTCAGTTGGTGACTGCCAGATGTTTCCACTGAAATTTGCCCATTAACCTTTCATCTTATGATTTTATGACCTTTGCCTAAATCAGTTATTTCATTTGCTTTACCGAAGGATAATTTTCTATTTCTGTCATAAAGGAGGGATCTTTAAAAATTGAAGAAATTATAACATGTTTTTCTGCTGATGGGCATGATCTAATAGAAAAGGAAAAATTATGATACCTGGAGAAACACTGGACTTGGTAGTTAAGAGGGGATGGGGTCCACTGCACAGGTGATAGAATGCCTTAGGTAGGAGGAGGAACAGTTTAAGTTATTTGTCCAAGGTTATAGTAGCACAGAGTTTATTTTATTAAATGTATATCAGAATTTTACTTTGGAATCTTATAATTGTACCTAATTTTAGAAACATGCATATTCAGTTGATGATACTGCATGTGAAGTAGAAACTTAAAGCTATTTTGAATTTCACTGCCCATATTTGACCCTACTTGTTAGGGTTTTTAAAATTTTTTCTAATTTCTCCTTTAAAATTAATGGTGTCTTATACACCTGTATCTTTACATTATAAAGAATATAAGCATATACTTTTATGTAATTTTTCAGCTTTTGGTGCTAGTCTGTTGCAAAGAGAAGTAAATGCTGCTGTTAAACAAAGTGATAAATAACTCGCAGTTCAGTTTAGACACTAATGGGCCCTAAAAGCCTGTAAAATGACAAAAAACAGCAACTTTTATGATTTATAGGCTAATTTTTGTTACACAGTTTGGTCATATACCTGACAGTCTTCCCTCTTTGTGACTTTCTCCTAAAAATTATAGTTTTGTGTTACCTAAGTGAAAAGTCCTTTAGAGTTCAGTAGAAGAATATGACAGCATCTCTTCTGAGGATTGCAGCAGTTCCCATTGGTGGAATTACAATTTCCTTTTTTTTTTTTTTTTTGTAGTAGTTCTAATGGTAGTGGTATAGTTTAATCTTGAAAGAATATTTATTGCAACTTTGGACCTGTAAACTATCTCCAAATTGTCTCATACATGCTATGTGAAATTTAGTTTTAGACAATCATATTTCTTTATGGCTCAGTGATTTCCATTTACTACTTGTTAGTCATACAGTCTGAAGGCTGTAGGGGTTATTGTGTTGTCTGACACAGTATGTATTCTGTTAAATTTGAATCTTAAAAGCAATATGGATTATATAGTCCCTTTAGTTACTTAGTACCATGTTTTATTTTTTACAAATCTCTGTTGAGGTTTGACTGATTTCCTTTGCTGTCTTGGCATCCCCAAAAGAGCACTCCGTAGTTGCCTCCAAAAGCAGGAA